ATTGTGTTAATTTGAGGCTAGAATATAATCTACACTATAATAAAAAAAAGATTTAATCATTACGATAAAGATTATCGTATGTTTTCAGTGCATATACAAAAATATATGTATATATATCAGGCTATATATCCTTCAAAATTTAATGACGGAAGGCTTTAAATAATAACATATTACATAGATCTCAATCGAAATAAGTAACTTTAATAATTAAAATAAGGATTAACATAGGCTTTCAGTGTATATACAAAGATATATATCAGTTTATTTACTTATGGCTACACATCTTTCAAAAAATTAGTGACTAGGCTTTTAATATTACAATGACCTCAATGGAAATGTCAATTTATCTGACTTTTATGGATAATTTACACGTTAATACTTCATCTGACTTTTATTTTTGGTTATCTTAGGTAATTTACACATGTTAAATTATGCGACAATCGCAAACAAGCGAATGATTCAAGGTAAAACTTTACCCTGCACGAATCTACGCGAATTTCCTACTTATTTGTACAACATTGCAATCTGATGTGTTGACTTCAACACGAAAGACCTAGAGCTATCATTCAACTCCTCCTGGGGTTGTTTTGCACGTTAAACTATGTACTTACGTGGACATGTACCTCAATATACTTACAACTTGACGTATCCGTTGCTTCGTGAACTCTGATCTGGTCATTATTATTATTATGATAATCAAGGGGGAAGCGCTAAACCCGGAGGATTATACAGCGCCTGGGGGGGCTCTTGATCTAGGGAATTGGATCTTTTTTTTTTTTTTTTTTTTTATTCGCCGGTATTCTCCCGGCCCGGGTCTTTTCCAAGTAGTGGTGACCCGGCCTTGGCTCCCTATCTGGGGAGTGTCTCGAGACTTAAGTCTCCCATGGGAGGAGGTACAAGTACCCCCTCATCTTTGGGACCAAGTGTCCCCAGGCCTAGCCACATTCCCCGCCCTCACGGGGCTCGTAGGGAGAAGCTAGGCCTCTGGTCTGCCATCTACCCCGCCTCAAAGGGCTCGTGGGGATGGCAGTCTTATGAGCTGCAGATGGTAGCAAGCTCAGGCCTCTCTTGACCTTACTATTGGATCTGTGCTCCAGTTCCCTGAATACCTTCCACCCCCCCCCCCACTTGCGCTGTATAATCCTACGGGCTTAGCGCTCCCCATGATTATAATAATAATTTATGAGATGTGCAGTGATGCTTATATTTTATTAGTATAATGGGGAAGCGCTAAACCCGTAGGATTATACAGCGCCTGTGGGGGGATGGAAGGTAATCAGGCTTAATTCAGGGACCTGGAACACAAATCCAATTCCCTAGATCAAGAGCCCCTCACCAACATCAAGGAACCTCCCTTGAGGGGAAAGTCTTATTTTATTACAAAAGAAAACTCAAGAGACTTCTTGAAGGGAGTTTGGTCCAAGGAACTGGAACTACCTTTCCCTTTATTCCTTTATTGCCTTGTTATCGTTATCTCCATCATTAGCGTTAAGCCATACGGGCATTGTTTCCTGTTAATGTTTGATTCACCAGACGCTTCAGGCAGTACTAGGCTATACCCTATTACTCTAATTTACTTATTTTATGTATGTTAATCAAGGGGAAGCGCTAATCCGATTATACGCGCCTGGGGGGATGATTAACCATCACGGGAGGGATTTGAACCCGTCAGAGTCTCAAAATCCAGACCGTGCGTTGAGCGACGGCGGTTTACGCTCTCGCTCAACGGCAGTCTAAGGTCGATTCCCGCCAGAGTAGAAACATTGGACTGTTTCTTTCCACCTTTGTTATTTCACATCAGGTGAAGGTACCTGGGGATTGATAGTCGCTGGTGGGGGGTCATCTGGACACTGACCATAAGGAGGCCTGGTCACGACCGGCCGCGGTGGGTCTAACCCCCGAACTCTCTCATGTAATCCATGTTGTAAACTGGGCCAGCTGCCACAATAACATTCATCCAACAGTGGTGGCCTATGCTAACCTTCCTATGGTGTAGAAATATACCTAGTTGGATGAATCTTATTGTAGCTAGCTGGTCTAGTGGCTAACACGACGGTCTGAAGTTTTGAGACTCTCTGACCGCGGGTTCAAATCCCGCCCGTGGTATGGTTTGTTTGCAATCGTGTCATTACGATTTCGCGAGTCATGTTAAGGGATGACTCTAATTTACAAACCCAGTGCTATTCTGAGATACTGGTACCGGAAGATCTCACATCTAAAGATCACAATAATGACTTTTTGTGTTATCCCAGGTTATCTACACATATGCTGCTATGTATGATAATCTATGTAACTGTATTTGTGTATACCTGAATAAACTTATTGTAAGGAATAGGATGGGCTGGATAACTAGAACTTTCAAGACAAAAGATGTTGAGGCAGAGATGATCTTGTCACTCTCTCTTCAGGCTGGAATATTTACAATAAACTAGGATTAGTAAGTTTATTTATTCAGGTATACACAAATACAGTTACATAGATTATCATACATAGCAGTATATGTGTAGAGAACCTGGGATAACCCAAAAAAGTCAGAGCGACTTATTTCCATTGCCACCCATATTATTCAATATTAATGTATCTATTTACTGTTAAATGGAGAGAGGCAACTGGTGTAAGGATTTTAGTTAAAAGGGGAAAGCGCTAAATTCGCTGGGGTCAAATAGTGCTTGGGGAATGGGCGACTTTCAGTTGCGATTCAAGGAATGAGAATCAGTCCAGCTCCTTGAATCAAAAGCTATGCTCGGATCAGCCAGGCTGTGGTTCGTATGCTGGACTGCGTGCGGCCAGCAGTAACAGCCTGGTTGATCAGGCCCTGATCCACCTGGAGGCCTGGTCGTGGACCGGGCCGCGGGGGCGTTGATCCCAGGAATACCCTCAGGTAGGCCCAGCGAATCAAGCGCTCTACTGTACATTATAATCAAAAAGAAGCGCTAAACCACAAGGGCTATACAGCGCTCTACTGTACAGCGATGTAAGAGGGTTTTCCGGGGGTAAGCGCCCCCGTGACCCAGTCCTCCAGGTGGATCTGGGCCTGATTAACCAAGCTGTTACTGCTGGCCGCACATAGCCCAACGTACGAACCACAGCCCGGCTGATCGGGTGCTGACTTGCAACATGTGTTGCATAATCAGGCAGATTATTCCGCAACTAAATGGAATGAATACTGATGATATACAAATAGTGACTATTCCCAAATCTGCACACGAAAGCAAGACTTGGCAGGCGGTGCAACATTCCCCAGTGAAAAACTGGGGTGCCATGAATACACTAAGAGAACACAGTGTCAGGGGCCCAAGACTGCTCCCAGCATATATACCTGGAGCAAACATGGAGATGATTTCGGGGGTCAACGCCCCCACAGTCCGGTCTGTGATCAGACCTCATGGTGGATCAAGGCCTGATCAACCAGGCTGTTACTGGTGGCCGCACGTAAACCAACGTACGAACCTCAGCCCAGCTGATCAGATAATGACTTTCCGAGCCTGTCCAAAGACTTCTTGAAGACAGTCAGGAGTCTATTGGTAATCCCCTTATGAATGCTGGGAGGCAGTTAAACAGTCTTGGTCCCCTGACACTTATTGTCTTGTTTCTTTTGCTAGTGGCACCCCTGCTTTTCATTGGGGAATGTTGCATCGCCTGCCAAGTCTTTTGCTTTCAAATGGAGAGATTTTCGTGTACAAATTTGGTACTAGTCCCTCTAGGATTTTCCAAGTGTATATAATTATGTATCCCTCCCGCCTGCGTTCCAGGGAGTACAGGTCGAGGAACTTCAACCGTACCCATTAATTTAGGTGTTTTATCGTACCTGTGTTTGTCATTAATCAAAAAGAAGCGCTAAACCACAAGGGTTATACAGCGCCTGTCTTTATATCTGGCCACAGTAATACAGAATGGAATTTACACATATGTTAAACTACGTATGATAATTGCATTCATGTGTACTAAAATAAACTTTATCGTTACATACAGAGAATCTATGCAGCATTATTCCCTCTATTACCACTATTTCAATATTCTACGTATTTAATATTTGGCAATCACTATATCATTTACATAGATTTTATATTATCTTCATAACATTCCCTACCGCCAAACTCAGGAAAATATAAAATGCCTCACTGTGAGTAGGGAATAGTTTGTACTCTGGTATCAGGGAATAGTTTGTACTTTGGTTTCAGGGAATAGTCTGTACTTTGGCATCAGGGAATAGCTGGTACTCTGGCATCAGGGAATAGTTTGTACTCTAGCATCAGGGAATAGTTTGTACTCTGGCATCAGGGAATAGCTTGTACTCTGGCATCAGGGAATGGTTTGTACTCTGGCATCAGGGAATAGACTGTACTGTGGCATCAGGGAATATTCTGTACTTTTTATCAGGGAATAGTTTTTGTGGCATCGGGGAATAGTTTGTACTGTGGCATCTGGGAATAGTTTGTACTGTGGCATCAGGGAATAGTTTGTACTTTGGAATCAGGGAATAGTTTATACTCTGGCATCAGGGAATAGTTTGTACTCGGGGATCAGAAAATAGTTTGTACTCTGGCATCCAGGTGGCAGCGCCTGGAAGGGCTGAAGTTTGATCTCTGCGTTCGTAATATCTGGATACACTGTGGATGGTTGGATGAATGGATGAACGTATGTATGTACTCGCCTAATTGTGGTTACGTGGGTCGATTCACAGCTCCTGGCCCAGCCTCTTCACTGGTCGCTACTGGGTTACTCCCTACTCTGTGTATGCATGTCTGTACATACGTATGCATGTGAGTAAATAAGTTAGTTGGTAAGTTTATTTAGGTACAGGTACACCTAAGTACAATTATGGTACCTAGTAACATTTGTGTAAATTAACAAGGATAACCCCCCAAAAAAGTCAAAATGTCTTATTTCCATTCAGAACTTTTGCATTGGTAGGAAAAGCAAAAGGGTCACTTACGTGATCTTAAAATTAACCTACACATCTAAAAGATTAATAATATAGCTATTTACTCTACAGTTCCCATGCTGCGAGTGTTGTGTGTGGCTGCAGTTGTTACTGCAGGGGTTGCGTCCTCTTATGGAAGGATGATGCCCAAGCAAGAAGAACCCATCATCCTGACGCCAATGGTGGAGGCTGAGACGGAGGCTGCCCTTCTTATAGTACCCGGGGCATACATTAATGGACAGTACTACCAGCCTCTAGGTGAGGCAGACTTAATTAAACTTACTTGTGGAAGTAATACAGTGGCCTAGTAGGCAACGCTCTCGCTTCACACACTGGGTGTCAGTGGTTTGATCCCTGCCAATGGTGGAAACATATGGTGTGTTTCCTTACACCTTCTGTGTCTGTTCACCTAGCAGGTAAGTAGGTACTTGGGTGTTAGTTGACTGGTGTGAATGGCATCCTGGGGAACAAGACTGAAGGACCACAATGGAAATAAGACAGACAATTCTCAATGACATGCTGTCTTTCTTGGCTAACTCTCCAGGGGTTAAAAATCTGAACAAAATTTTACCTTACCAGTGAGATCGGATACAAGAGTGAGATGATGACATTATGTAGAAGACAGACACACACACACAATAATAATAATCTTTATTTTTGCAAGTGCACATATGATACGACTTATACAGCTAACATCAATGACATACTGTATAGAAAGTCTCTAGTTATACAGTCGACTAGCACCCAGGTACCTACTTGCTGCTAGGTGAACAGGGACAGTATCTTAAGGAAACATGCCCAATGTTTCCACATGTACCAGGGATCAAACCATGGACCTGAACCTGTGAGGTAAGTGCGCCACCAACCGAGTACTTGTCTATGCTAATAACCTACATGGAGACAACACAAAATTGACTTAGTCTGTATGTTTCGACCCCAGTTGAGGAAGACTCGAGTTCGGGGACGTCATCATATAAAGATGTATGTAAACCACAGTACAGGTGGGGATTGAGTTCACGGCTAGTGAGCCGGAAAGCTCCAGACTGACGCGTTAACCACTGGGCCAGCTGGCTACAATAAGATTGTAGCCAGCTGGCCCAGTGGCTAACGTGTCGGTATAGAGTTTTATGACTCACCAGCTGCAAGTTCGATCCCTGCCCATACAGTGGTTTGTTTGCAATAGTGTCATTACAATTTCCTGAGTCATAAAAATGTATGTGTTTCTCACATTATCAAGGAACAGTTCCTTGAAATTCATTGGGAATTCATTATTTTTTCACAGTGGTTATTTTACAAGTATATATGTTTAATGTTTCAGGTGAAACAATACAAGCAGCATCTCCACTGAAACTGTGGGTAGGGCTGGTAAGACCCTTTCCTCTGGACCTGCCAAACCCCTTGTCAGTGTTTCCAGACATGGAGAAAACCCTGCAGGTTATGCGAGATTTGGGCATGACCACAGACAACATCTTCATCAGTGGACACTCGCTTGGAGGTGCGTCGCTACCTATATACTAATACACTACCTGTATACTGATCTTTCTTATAAATATAATAAATAATAATAATTACCTTGTGTGTAGGCGTGGTTTTGCAGAACGAGGAATGGTCACAAGAGCACGGTGTTGTAGGCTGGGTCATGCTGGCCTCTTACCTTCCAGATGGTGGTCTCAATAATGTCTCCCTCCCTGTCATGCACATCAGTGGAGATCTGGATGGGATGGTCAGGGTCACTCACATGAGATGCATCTTCAGGTCAGTCACCAGTTGTGGATGTACATGCATAATGCAGGCAGGAATTCATGAATACAATATGCAGAATGAGCTTAAACTGCGACAACATTTCGCTGTGTAGAGCCTATCACGGAGCAAAATGGTGTCCCAATGAATCTTTTGCGACGTGTATTTTCTTCACTATAATAATAACAATCAAAACTGAATTCTAAACCCACAAGGGTATTCAGCACTACAATGCAGGCAGGATGTGCTAAAGATGTAATATACGAAGATCAGAGACCAGTAAGGGTGAGAAGTGTGCCAGAGGTAGAGTCAGTAAGGGCAGTGATTTCTTCACTATACTAAGACGTACAACAATTGGATCCAAATTACACGTTATCACGGTTGGCAAAATACGTGGGAGTTTTCAGTTCTAACTGCATCTCAAGTAGTAACATTTTCGGTTCACAACTGATAAATTTGGGTTCGATCCCAGGATGAGTAGAAAAATTACAAGTCCATACATCTGTTGGCCTGGCCCTGTTCACCTAGTAGTAAGTAGGTACCTGTGTATTAGCCAACTATAATGGATCACATCCTGGGTAAAGGGATGGCAGGAACCCAATGGAAATAACCCACATGTAATACCTTCCTTTGGTTAAATTACACTACTAATCCTCCTGGTTAATAATCCTAGTTAAATCTACAGAGAATTGGAAGCATCACTGGAAGAGGAACCAGAGAATGTGTACAGGAAGCCCGTGATGATCCTGCAGGATGTGAACCATATGTATTTCGCGTCTGGGAACAGGACATCTTCAGTAGAGGCCAATGACATTCTCTCTCCCATGTCACAGGTGAAACACCACAGGTACAAATATGTTAACATGAGATATTTTGGGGGGATTGGTTTTACAAGGTGGGTCCTTGATGCTGTATTCTTGATCTAAGAATCATGAGCAGATTTTACAAGGTACATAGTGTCTTGATGCTGGTGAAAGAATCATGATCTAAGAATCGTGAACGGACTTTACAAGGTGGTGCCATGATGCTGGTAAAGGAATCTTAATCTAAGAATCCTAAGTAGACTTAACAAGGGTGGAGCCTTGACGAAGGTGAAGGACTCTTGATCTAAGAAATTAAAGTTACCTTCTTTTTTGGATCAAACCTGACTAATTCCCAAACCCTATGATCTACAAAGGCTTGTTCTGCTGTCACTGTATTACCCATATTTTTCAGCACTGCCTGCCAACCACACCCCCAGGCACTGTTTTACCCCCTAAAGGTTCACCACTACCCCATGAATATAACATTCCATTTCCTACAGGAGGAAGCCCAGGTGGGCATTGCAAGACATGTGACAGCCTTCCTGACGGTGGTGTTGGGTCAACCTGAGCTACAGGTGGTGGAGGCAAAGGCCACACTGGCACTGGCTCACCAAGATACCAAGATCATCCTTCAGGCAAGTCGATATCTTCCACGATGCAGATTTTGAGTTTCTTTTCCACAATATTGAGCATCAGAGATGTACTGGCAAGTCTCCTTGCATCTGCTGCTCGTTCCCCTAACAGTAATTAGGTACCTAGGAGTTAGTCGCTCACAGCTTTAAGAAAAAAAGGATAGATTCATAACAAACATAGGCAACATATATAGATTTCTTTCTAGGTTATTCTGAATAATAATTATTATTATTATATTTACAAAATGTATTCAACCTGCATGGGTCACACAGCCCTATAAGTAAGCTTATTTAAGTACAGATACACACAAATTGTTACACAGATTTTCATATTTACTAACTTATGTGTAAATTACCCACCAGGATAACCCAAAAAGTCAAAGTGACTTATTTCCATTAATGTTAATAACCTTTCAGTTTTAATAGCTAAAAAGAGTTTCTCTTCTACAAAGTCATCAGAACACATGGAATATTACAAAAATTTACTCATGGTCAGTTCCAATCAAACTCCCATGCTCAAAATGTACACCTGTAGTCAACAAGTATGTTGTGTATCCATAACACCAGGCACAAGACGACATGGAAGAGGTGACAGAGGGTGACGGGATAAGGTCACCTTGGTCTGAACAAGGTCAGTGGCTCATGTCAACAGTACTGGACCAATACAGTGACTACCTACAGGTGAGTTCTCTCTCTCTCTCTCTCTTGTCTTGACCAACAGAATGTGTTCTCTCTCCACCAGCCTTCCCTCTGTTTCTCTATTATTCTCAGATAGCTCTACCTTCCCTCTGTTTCTCTACCATTCTCAAATGGCTCTATCTATTTTATATGCTATCACATTAACAATGATCTAGTCACCCTTAAGGGAAAGAAGCCAGAACTTGTGGTAGGCCTACACACACCAAAAAAAAAAAAAAAAAAAAGTAACAAGTTAAACTTGAAAAAAAAAAAAAAATAGTTCTTAAATGAATGTCTCATTCTATACGTTAATTCTAAATGGAGTTATCACAATTATAGTGAGGTGATGACATCAGATGAGATAAGTTATACATAAGAATCTAACATTTGTTGTTTTAACTCCATTATTTATGAACCAATCATTATGATTTTTACAATATTCTAGGGTCATTATTCTACAAATGCTTTAAGGTCTATTTCTGTATAGTCAAGGAGATCCTCTTCAGTGGCTTTCATCTTGCAGGTCAATGACACAATATTAGACGACTTGAGTGAGTTCGAAGTATCCAGACATAAGAACATAAGAACATAAGAAAGGAGGAACACTGCAGGAGGCCTGCTGGCCCATACTAGGCAGGTCCTTTACAATTCATCCCACTAACAAAACATTTGCCCAACCCAATTTTCAATGCCACCCAAGAAATAAGCTCTGATGTGAAAGTCCCACTCAAATCCAACCCCTCCCACTCATGTACTTATCCAACCTAGATTTGAAACTACCCAAAGTCCCAGCCTCAATAACCCAACTAGGTAGACTGTTCCACTCATCAACTACCCTATTTCCAAACCAATACAGTGGACCCCCGCATAACGATCACCTCCAAATGCGACCAATTATGTAAGTGTATTTATGTAAGTGCGTTTGTACGTGTATGTTTGGGGGTCTGAAATGGACTAATCTACTTCACAATATTCCTTATGGGAAAAAATTCGGTCAGTACTGGCACCTGAACATACTACTGGAATGAAAAAAGTTCGTTAACCGGGGGTCCACTGTACTTTCCTATGTCCTTTCTAAATCTAAACTTATCTAATTTAAATCCATTACTGCAGGTTCTCTCCTGGAGAGACATCCTCAAGACCTTATTAATATCCCCTTTATTAATACCTATCTTCCACTTATACACTTCGATCAGGTCTCCCCTCATTCTTCGTCTAACAAGTGAATGTAACTTAAGAGTCTTCAATCTTTCTTCATAAGGAAGATTTCTAATGCTATGTATTAATTTAGTCATCCTACGCTGAATGTTTTCTAACGAATTTATGTCCATTTTTTATACGGAGACCAGAACTGAGCTGCATAATCTAGGTGAGGCCTTACTAATGATGTATAAAGCTGCAGTATGACCTCTGGACTTCTGTTGCTTACACTTCTTGATATAAATCCCAGTAATCTATTTGCCTTATATGTACGCTTAGGCATTGCTGTCTTGGTTCAAGGTTGCTGCTCACCATAACCCCCAAGTCCTTTTCGCAATCTGTATGGCTAAGTTCTACATCATTTAACTTATAAGTACTAGGGTTATGGGCACTCCCAAGCTTCAGAACCTTGCATTTATCTACATTGAACTGCATCTGCCACTTTTCTGACCAAGAATAGAGTTTGTTTAAATCCTCCTGAAGTTCCATAACATCTACGTTTGAATCAATTATCCTACCTATCTTTGTGTCATCGGCGAATTTGCTCATATCACTAGTAATTCCCTCATCAAGATCATTGATATATATTATAAACAACAACGGGCCCAAGACTGATCCCTGTGGAACGCCACTTGTTACAGATCCCCACTCGGATTTAACCCCATTTATGGACACTCTCTGCTTCCTGTCAGTGAGCCATGACTCGATCCACGAGAGCACTTTTCCCCCAATGCCATGAGCTGCCACTTTCTTTAACAGTCTATGGTGCGGAACTCTATCAAAAGCCTTACTAAAATCTAAGTAAATAATATCAAATTCTTTATTGTGGTCAACAGCCTCAAAAGCTTTACTGAAGAAAGTTAATAAATTAGTTAGACAAGACCGGCCTCTTGTGAATCCATGCTGAGTATCATTAATCAAGCTATGCTTATCGAGATGGCTTCTTATAATCTCAGCTATAATTGACTCTAGTAATTTGCCTACAATTGAGGTCAGGCTTATTGGGCGGTAATTTGACGGTAACGACTTGTCCCCTGTTTTAAAAATAGGAGTTACATTAGCCATCTTCCACATATCAGACACTACACCTGTTTGAAGAGATAAATTAAAAAATATTAGTTAATGGTTCACAGAGTTCCATTTTGCATTCCTTAAGAACCCTTGAAAAAACCTCATCAGGACCCGGTGACTTATTTTGCTTCAGTCTGTCTATCTGCTTCACAACCATCTCACTAGTGACTGTGATGTTACATAATTTATCTTCTTCTAGCCCACTGTAAAAATTAATTACTGGAATATTGTTAGTGTCTTCCTGTGTAAAAACTGAGAGAAAATAATTATTTAAAATCAAGCACATTTCATTCTCTTTGTCAGTAAGGTGCCCATAGTTATTTTTAAGGGGACCTATCTTATCTCTAACTTTTGTTCTATAGACCTGGAAAAAACTTTTTGGGTTAGTTTTAGAATCCCTAGCAACTTTAATTTCATAGTCCCTTTTAGCTTTTCTTATCACCTTTTTAATGTCCCTCTTAATGTCAATATACTGATTCATAAGATGACCCTCACCTCTTTTGATACGCCTATAAATTCCTTTCTTATGCCCTAGTAGATATTTAAGCCTTTTATTCATCCATTTTGGGTCTTTTCTTTTGTTTAATTTTTTATTGGGAAAAACCTTTTTGGCGCTGTATAGTGTTCAGAAAAACTGTAATTGTAGCTCTTTCTTTACCCCAGAAACAGATGACAAGGTTCTCTAAGCCCATTAATCCCCCAAAGCAAAAAAACTGGGACTGTTACTGATTATCGCTACTTCGTACTTCCATTCAATGTAAATGAAATTGATTTGTGGTCGCTAGCACCCATTTCCCTCTGAAATTTCTAAATTATTAAAAAGGGATTCATTGTTGCCATAACTAAGTCAAGCAGGTTTTTTTCCTCTTGTAGGTTTGTCACAAATCTTCAAAAAACAATCCAAAACTTTAAAAGTCGTATGATTCTAAACCCAGTCAAAAATTTTCCAATCAACATGACTAAATTTAAAATCCCCTAGAATTCTACATTATCGTGCTTGGGGCCTTTAACAATTTCCTCCCACAGAAAGGGACCTGGGGATTGGCAGAGAGCATGCATATTTTCCTTTGTATAAAGGCAAAGGGGTAAAAGAGAGTGCAAAAATTTGGGGGATAAGTCTGCTGAGTATACTGGTAAAGTGTAGGTAGAGTTATTATTGAAAAAATTAAAGAGTAAGAGGGGAAAAGGAAAGCAGATGACAAGGAGGTTTGGGAAAGGTAGGGGTGTGTGGACCAGTGTTTACAGTGAACATTAATAAACAGTATTTAGTAAGGCTAAAGAGGTTTTTGTGGCTTTATGGATTTGGAAAAGGGATGACGGGGTAGATAGGGGGGCAATGTGGAGATGTTGCAAGTTTTATGGTGTAGGGGGTGGGTTTCTGAAAGCAGGAAGTTTTTACGAGGATAGTGGGGCTCAATTAGAGTATGTAGGAAAGGGGAAATTTTTTCCCCAGTAAAAGTGGGCCTTAGACAAGGATGTGTGTGTCCCGGGGTTTTTTTTAAATATTTTTATAGAGGGGGTTTTAAAGAGAAGTAATCGGGGGTCTTGACAAGAGGCGTGGAGTTAAAAGAAAAAAAATAAACACAAAGTGGGGTTGTCACGTGTCTTTGCTGATGAACTGTCTTTTGGGGAGATTCTAAAGGAGTTGCAGAGTTTGGTGGATGAATTTGGTAGGTTGCAAAAGAAAAAAATTAAAAGGTGAATACAGGAAAAGAAGGTTATGAGGATAAAAAAAAGATTAGGTGAGAAGATTGAATATCGATTAGAGGGAGGAGTAGGAGGAGGTAATGTTTCAGATATTTGGGAGTGGATGTGTTAGCGGATGGGTCTATGAAAGATGAGGTAATCATAGTTTTGAAGAGGGGAAAAAGAGTGAGTGGTCACTTAGGATTTGTGGAACAAAGAATTTTGCCCTTGGAGGAAAAGGGGGGAATGTTGAGAGTATTTTTTTTACCAATGCCTTATAGGGGTGTGAAGCGGGGTGAAAAATGTGCGCGAGGAAAGGGGGAGGCATGGAGATTCATTTGAGGGCAATGTGTAGTGTGAATAAATGCAAGAATTCGTATTTTGGAAGTTAGGGGGGGTGCGGGATTTCCAAAACTGTGTCCCGGGGGGAGGGGGTTTTTGAGGTGGTTCGGAATTAGAGAAATGGAGCAAAACAGAAGACTTTTAAAAAGGGACAGTTTTTGTGGAAGGAAGGGGGGGGTAGGGGGGCCTAGGAAAAGGGTTTGGGAGAGGGGGTAAAAGGGGGTTTTTTTGCGGGGGCTTGGCCCTTCCCCAGGTTGCATGAGCTGTTTGATAGGGGTGAAAGGAGACAAATGGGTTTTTAAAACTTACTGCTGTTGGAGTGTGAGAAAGTAACTTTATGAAGGGGGTTAGGGAAACCCGGGAGTGGACTTGAGTCCTGGAGATGGAAGTACAGTGCCTGCCTCTGAAGGGGGGGGTGTTAATGTTCAGTTTTTAAAAAAAAAAATGTAAAGCACCCTTTTGGCAGACAGTGATGGAGTGAATGATGGGGAAAATTTTTTTTTTTTCGGGCACCCCGCTTGGTGGGAAACGGCCATGTGATAAAAAAAAAAAAAAAATAGTTTTTCCCCCGGTCCCTATCTAAATTTGGGGGAGGTATATCCCTCCTAAAATCAGTTTTTCATGCCCTCTGAAAATTCTATCCAAACAACTCTGTATGTGTTTATTTTGACTTAAAACCCTTTTATGCAACAGTTCAAACATCTCGGCAACAATGCCCCCCCCACCCCCCCCCCCAATACTTCTTTTCTTGGAACAATTTAAAACCCCGATATGACATTCCCCAGGCATGTCCCGACTTTTTGAATTAAAACCCTCTCATTAAGGAAATACTCAATGTTTTCCTCATAGCAACTAATTCCAAATCGCCCTTATTCCCAGCACTACGGCAAAGCAAATAACATTGAAAGACTCTCCTTTCTCTTTTCCCTTGCCATTTTATTTTTTTATAAAAACCTTTTCGTCCTTATCACCCAAGGTCCTGGCTTTTAAAATTTTCTCGTTCTTATTATAACTAGTTCCCCCAGAACCGTAATATTTTAACTGGGACTTCCCTGTTTTTCCCCCAAAAACCCCTAAAATAACTTTCCTATTTAAAGTCCTAACTGCTCCTTCCCTGCAGTTGCCCGGCTCCACCCCCACCCAGATAAGTGAACCCCCTCCCTAGCATACTGTCATTTCTGCATAGAAGAGGTCCCAGTTGTCATGAAGTACCGCATTTTTTCCCACGTATTTGTCCAGCCCCAATTGACACCATTTCTTGGGCAACCAATTCAGTTCCAAACCCCCTCCTTGGAAAATACCACAAGAGGGGTTCCCACCCTTACTTCTAAATTTTTTATTGCGACCTTACCTGTAATCAGGTCCCATCCCACGTCTGCCAACATGTTGCCCCCAGCACTGAGACAGATAAAAGGATTGCTCCCATTACTTCCCTATTCATCCAGAGGCTAAAAAAATCCTCCAGCCCAGCCCCGGAAAGCAAACTCTTGTCTCCCACCTGTCCTTAAGCAGAACGCCCTATCCATATACCCAACTTGGCTATCCCCCAAAAACAACAATTTTCTACCTTCCTTAATGTCTTTCGTCGGATTCCCCGTAGTCGCTCCATTGTTGGGGAGCAAAAGAGAATTATTGGATGTTTCCACAACAGTTTCCACGGCAGTCTCTTTCTTCTTCATCGTTTCTACCTTTCCATTCGTCTTCTTGATCGTCAACTTCTTTCCCTGCTGTCCAGCCACTGACCAGTTTCCCTTCTTGACCTGAGGACTCAAAACAGGAGGACTACTCCGAATCTTTTTGTTTTCCTCGGTCAGTTGCCGAATTTCCATATTCGCCAACCTCAATTCTTCCTTAAGCTGTTGGTAAAGTTGCTCGATGGAGGGCATCTTGCTTCAATTCTAGAGAGCGCGCAAACAGGTCTTCACAGAGCCAAGTACACGTCAACACTGCGCAAAAGCCAACTCAATCAGGAGCTACTGCGCAGCTCGTCCGCACGGCCCAATAGCGATGCGAACACTACGTGGTACTGGAGAACAGGGTTGCTGAGGTGTCTACCAGTACCTATCTCTACCCCAGAGGCATCGTGGTGGGTACTGAACCCCTCACTTCCAAGGTCAGTCCTAATATATTTAAAGTTCAATTACCAACAAACACTTAGCTGTCTTCAATAGATAACAATTTCCTTGGTCTTGTGGTTTGTGCAAATGGGATGTGCATCCGTTTCAAGTTCAGCGGACAGAGGATCAAGCCTCCACCACATCTTGCGCTGAATGACCCACAATGGTTTAGTGCTTAATATGAATTATTATTAAATAAGTTCCTTAAGTTAGTTCCTGATCAGCCAGTCTCTGGTATTTACTTTGAGCTATAGTGCTAGAACCATCCACCTGGCTGATTGGGCATCAGTCCAAAGGCTGAGTCATGGGTGTTAAGTTTGGTTAGGTAAAGTTAGTCAGGAAAGAGGACAAGTGTTTCCTGAAGTGGCTTTTAGACATATGATGACCGCAGTTGGAGCTTTTGGTCATCTGACTGAGACCTTCCACTGGCTTACCCCTCCATTCCTTTAAAAATTATGGTTATAATTATAAGCATTGCAGGTAGTAGGTTGGTAGACAGCAACCACCCAGGGAGGTATTACCGTCCTGCCAAGTGAGTGCAAAATGAAAGCCTGTAATTGTTTTACATGATGGTAGGATTGCTGGTGTCCTTTTTTCTGTCTCACGAACATGCAAGATTTCAGGTACGTCTTGCTACTTCTACTTACACTTAGGTCACACTACACATACATGTACAAGCATATATATACACACCCTTCTGGGTTTTCTTCTATTTTCTTTCTAGTTCTTTTTCTTGTTTATTTCCTCTTATCTCCATGGGGAAGTGGAACAGAATTCTTCCTCCGTAAGCCATGCGTGTCGTAAGAGGCAACTAAAATGCTGGGAGCAAGGGGCTAGTAACCCCTTCTCCTGTATATATTACTAAATTTAAAGGGAGAAGCTTTCGTTTTTCCTTTTGGACCACCCCACCTCAGTGGGATATGGCTGGTGCGTTGAAAGAAAGAAGATTATACAAGATTAAAAACACTTAAGCTTTTGTTTATTCAATAACTTACTTGAGCACCCCAGCAATGAGTTGTAGCTTCTGGCCTTCTGGAGAAGATCTAGTGCTGTTAAATCCTTATAGGGAGGCCTGGTCAAGGACTGGGCTGCGGGGCCATTGATCCCCCCCCCCCGTAACACCATTCAGGTAGACAGTCACACAGACCAATTTTTCTTTCTCCCATGGAGACCCCCAAATGAACAATTATTTAGGCTATTCACAACAACAAATTTCCCAATATAGGAAAAATTCATCAGTACTGGCACTGAAAAACTAGTGGAATGAAAAAAAGTTCGTTAACAGGGGGTCCACTGTATAGGCAAACTATTATCACTGTTATTTTAAGTAAAAAATAGTGTGAATACATGGACATTGACTCAGATACATGTTTATTCCTACCACTGACTGAGGGTGCTATTGTGGGTTCTACCCATTATTATAATCAAAACTAAGTGCTAAACCCACAAGGGTCATTCACCATGGGTTCAAACTCCATAACACCAAAACTGGGTTTTAGTTTTAAGATACCTGGTAATCCAGGGATGAATGTATGAATTTCATTGGTTCATTTCTTCACCCAATCATCGTACATTTACATTCATGGGGGAGTGTGGAGAAACTTTTTCCAACAAGGGGGCTAAGCCCCCCTCTACGTTCCCACACTGAAGGTGCAGGTGTAAGCTAAAGAGGTCATGACCCCTTATTTTATCTAATTAAGCTTCTGTTTCCCAAGAGGGAGCATTAAAACCATAAGGACCATACAGCACCCAGGGACTCTGGAAGATATTCAGACTCAATTCAACTGTATGGAGTTTACCTGGAGAGAGTTCCGAGGGTCAATGCCCCCGCGGCCCGGTCTGTGACCAGGCCTCCAATTCCTTGGATCAAGAACCCCTCACTAGCATCAAGGATTATTAGAGTACATGCATAGGGGAGTGCTAAACCCATAAAGGTAATAAAGAGCCCAGGGAAATTGGAAGAATTTAAGGTCACTCCAAGGCAGAGGAGTACAGGTCTAAAGCTTAGATCAAGAGCCCTTTACTAGTATCAAGGGACTTCCCTTGAAGGGTTGCAAGATGTAGTTGATGATGTTAGTTGTATATATATACATAAACAGTAAAAATGCAGATTATTGAGTGCATGGAAACTGGGAGGTATCTAGCACACTTACCTCACACACTGAGACCCGTGGTTCCCTCTCCAGTACAGGTGGAAACACCGGGGCATGTTTCCTTAAGACATTTGCTGTTCACGTTCACCTAGCAGTGAATAGGTACCCGGGTGCTAGTCAACTGGTGTAGGTCGCATCCTGGGGGGACAAAATTAACCTAATTTCCCCAAAATGTTCTGCATAACCAGGAACTTTCTATATAGTAATATATCACTGATGTCAGCTATGGTCTGTACAAAGTGTATCTTATACTTATAGAAATAAAGATTATTATAAGGAAGGGGACAATAGCTCCAGTTCCTTGGATGATGAGCCCTTAAAGGTATAGCTAGTTGTGCCAAAAAGGTTTAAAATGCCGTCAGACCCTCTTCTATCCCCACTATAATTATTATTACAATCAAAGCTAATCACTAAATCTTACCTCACTAGGAGATGGGAGTCAAATTTAAGAGTCGCCAGGCCATCATGGAGGTTTTGGAACCCATGGGGGTTGAATTTGGCAATGAGGTCAGCTGCCTGGAGGTCAATCAGGTCAGTGGTCATTGTTCACATTAGTAAGTTACATGCTTCTTTTGTTTTAAGTCCTGATTCACCATGGTGATATTTTGTTCGTCAAGAAACAAAAGAAATGCTACTTCTTATACCCCAGTTGAGAGATCACTACATATTATTATTATTATAATCAAAAAGAAGCGCTAAGCCACAAGGGCTATACAGCGATCACTACATAGTACTGTATTTTCCAACATATAAAGCATGCTTTTTCCACCCAAGAAAATCTTGTAAAATCAGCCTGCACCTTATATGCTCAAGGTCAGGGTCACGGGTAGGCTTTAGGTTATGGTTTAGCGTAAAGTATTGGGGTCATTAACCCTGAAATGTGAGCAATAATTTACCATTATGATACTTCTGTTGTGCGCTTTATATGTCAGCATCATTCAAAAGATGGTTGAATTACCAACAACGTCAGGTAAATGGACACAGCTGCAACAAATATGACATTATACTACTGACAGCCTGACAAAGCTCCTGGAGAGCAAAAACGTTGCCACAATAGAATGTCACATTAGTTGCACCTTTGTCTATTTACCTAAATACTTTATGTAAACATAGGACCGTTCAAGTACCATGGAGGTCAATTATGAAATATTTTTGGGAAGAGTTCAGGGTATACAATGACAGGTGCGTTTATATATAGAGAGGTGTATATCTCCAAGTGTATATACAAAGATACATATCTCTCGGTGTAAACTGACACACACACACACACACACACCAGTGTATTTACAAACATCTCTTAATGTATATATATATATACTGAGAAATAAGCACCTCTTAGTGTGTATATACTAAAAAACACACACCTTTCAGTGTATATACACTGAGAAACACGCACCTCTCAGAGTAAATACACTGAAACACACACCTGTGTATATACCCTTGTGTACTTTTAATCATTATTATATACATTCTGCCCTAGGCATCATTTACACTAGCCCTGTCAGCAGCTACAGATATCGTCAATTCACGCTTCAACTCCCGGGGTAAACCTGTCTACTTCCTGGAAGACGATGTCAAGTTGACTGGCATTGCCTGGGTGGACGCGCATCTCCTGTATAATATTACTGACACTGGTGGGTACTGAACTTCCTAGAGTCAAACCTGTTCACCCTCTACATTTCCAGGTGCTGTGTGACGTCTAAGCTTAGCCCTTGCCCAAGAATATAATTTTTCAGGGGTAGTGATTTCCAAGACAGGGGCAAGGATTTTCAAGAAGGAGCAATGATTTCTAAGGGTAAAAGATTTTCAAGATGGCCAGCAAGAGACATAAGTATTCTTGGTAAAACTTCATCTATACATCCATCCATTACTCTTCAAGGGATAAGGGGCCTTGATTCTAGTGAGGGGCCCCTAAACCAAAGAAATGGAAATACCTTCTCCTTTCTCAGATCAAACTTGACTACCTCCCATTTTCCAGATGTTGCTAATCAATTTTCTAACTCAAATTTTCATGCTTCCTCTCTTCATACACACTGAATGATATATATATACAAAGAAAATGTGTCACAGAAAAGATGGCAAATGTTGGATTAACCAGGATGTGATGGATATATGTGCCAGCTGGCCACTGGCAATGACAGGCTGGTTGCTCAAGACAAACCTGGTCAGTGACTAGGCTGTGGTATAAAACTATCAAAACTCTTTAGAGGCATATCAGAAGCATGGTTTTGTGCAGTAGCAATGCAAAATCATAAAGATGGCTGGTGTATCTTACATTCAGTAATATTCAATAAACATTTAGCTTTAGGTTCCTGTGCACTGTTAATATTTCTTACTCCTGTAAAATTTCCTTATGAGGTGTGGTCTGAGGCCAGGCCACAGGGGCATTAAACTAGGAACCACTAACAGGTAACTTGGTGCCACGACAGGACTGGAAGTGACGTCTCCATCCCTGGTCACCGATGTAGATGTTGGTCTGGGCCTCGGTGGGATGCACTACTGCAAGCTGCTCACACCCACACGAGCACTGGAGTACATCATGATAGACAGTCTTGTGGGTACCCAGCCTTAGTGCTCACCTATGCTTGCTCTCAAGTGATACAACACTAGAATACAGGTTGGCCCTGCTTATACAGCAGGTTAAGCTTCAGCTTATTGCTGTATGTACAGCAATAGCCCTAACCATAACCTGCTGTATAAGCAGGGCCCATCCGTACAGCAGTAGCCTGGAACCTAACCTGCTATATAAGTGGGGCCCATCTGTACAGCAGTAGCCCAGAACCTAACCTGCTATATAAGTGGGGCCCATCTGTACAGCAGTAGCCCAGAACCTAACCTGCTATATAAGTGGGGCCCATCTGTACAGCAGTAGCCCAGAACCTAACCTGCTATATAAGTGGGGCCCATCTGTACAGCAGTAGCCCAGAACCTAACCTGCTATATAAGTGGGGCCCATCCGTACAGCAGTAGTCCAGAACCTAATCGGATGTATAATCATGTTGAAATAAATTATATTGCGCTGAATTATACTATATGGGTGTAGCACTTTCCTCTGAATATACAGCCAGGTCTCAATCAGTGTGAATAATGAATCATGTGAAGTGGTCGCATTATTCAAATTACGTATATGTAATTTTTGCACACAATTTAAAGAGTTTGGGGAAAAACATAGCATTAATTAATTTTGCACTAAATTGAAATTCGCAATAATGGAGGCCTAATCTTAAGGGTTTAGTGCTTTCTTGTGAATATACATTAATAGTAATGGAAAATTTCCCTTACCTTAGGCATAAAAATCACAGACATGTCTGTGACACTGATGACAGGTGGGGCAGACATGTCTGTGACACTGATGACAGGTGGGGCAGACATGTCTGTGACACTGATGACAGGTGGGGCAGACATGTCTGTGACACTGATGACAGGTGGGGCAGACATGTCTGTAACACTGATGACAGGTGGGGCAGACATGTCTGTAACACTGATGACAGGTGGGGCAGACATGTCTGTAACACTGATGACAGGTGGGGCAGACATGTCTGTGACACTGATGACAGGTGGGGCAGACATGTCTGTGACACTGATGACAGGTGGGCAGACATGTCTGTGACACTGATGACAGGTGGGGCAGACATGTCTGTGACACTGATGACAGGTGGGGCAGACATGTCTGTGACACTGATGACAGGTGGGGCAGACATGTCTGTGACACTGATGACAGGTGGGGCAGACATGTCTGTGACACTGATGACAGGTGGGGCAGACATGTCTGTGACACTGATGACAGGTGGGGCAGACATGTCTGTAACACTGATGACAGGTGGGGCAGACATGTCTGTGACACTGATGACAGGTGGGGCAGACATGTCTGTGACACTGATGACAGGTGGGGCAGACATGTCTGTAACACTGATGACAGTGGGGCAGACATGTCTGTGACACTGATGACAGGTGGGGCAGACATGTCTGTGACACTGATGACAGGTGGGGCAGACATGTCTGTGACACTGATGACAGGTGGGGCAGACATGTCTGTGACACTGATGACAGGTGGGGTAGACATATCTGTAACACTGATGACAGGTGGGGTAGACATATCTGTGACACTGATGACAGGTGGGGCAGACATGTCTGTAACACTGATGACAGGTGGGGCAGACATGTCTGTGACACTAATGACAGGTGGGGCAGACATGTCTGTAACACTGATGACAGGTGGGGCAGACATGTCTGTAACACTGATGACAGGTGGGGCAGACATGTCTGTAACACTGATGACAGGTGGGGCAGACATGTCTGTGACACTGATGACAGGTGGGGCAGACATGTCTGTGACACTGATGACAGGTGGGGCAGACATGTCTGTGACACTGATGACAGGTGGGGCAGACATGTCTGTGACACTGATGACAGGTGGGGCAGACATGTCTGTGACACTGATGACAGGTGGGGCAGACATGTCTGTGACACTGATGACAGGTGGGGCAGACATGTCTGTGACAACTGATGACAGGTGGGGCAGACATGTCTGTGACACTGATGACAGGTGGGGCAGACATGTCTGTAACACTGATGACAGGTGGGGCAGACATGTCTGTGACACTGATGACAGGTGGGGCAGACATGTCTGTGACACTGATGACAGGTGGGGCAGACATGTCTGTAACACTGATGACAGGTGGGGCAGACATGTCTGTGACACTGATGACAGGTGGGGCAGACATGTCTGTGACACTGATGACAGGTGGGCAGACATGTCTGTGACACTGATGACAGGTGGGGCAGACATGTCTGTGACACTGATGAACAGGTGGGGTAGACATATCTGTAACACTGATGACAGGTGGGGTAGACATATCTGTGACACTGATGACAGGTGGGGCAGACATGTCTGTAACACTGATGACAGGTGGGGCAGACATGTCTGTGACACTAATGACAGGTGGGGCAGACATGTCTGTGACACTAATGACAGGTGGGGCAGACATGTCTGTGACACTAATGACAGGTGGGGCAGACATGTCTGTGACACTAATGACAGGTGGGGCAGACATGTCTGTGACACTAATGACAGGTGGGGCAGACATGTCTGTGACACTGATGACAGGTGGGGCAGACATGTCTGTGACACTGATGACAGGTGGGGCAGACATGTCTGTGACACTGATGACAGGTGGGGCAGACATGTCTGTAACACTGATGACAGGTGGGGCAGACATGTCTGTGACACTAATGACAGGTGGGGCAGACATGTCTGTGACACTGATGACAGGTGGGGCAGACATGTCTGTGACACTGCTCTAACTCTGTATAGTTCACAAGCTGAGGATGAACTAATCAGAAAAGGCATCCTGTAGTCATCACATATAAGCCACTCTTACAATTTGTATAAGAAAATTGGAGAATCAAAACCTACATAGCCCAATAAAAATGTGAACCTTCCTTTCAGCCAAATACACCAGCGCTGGAAGTTTAAGATCGTTCAGAAAAAGCATTACTTGTGACTAGTTTCAAGGGTTTTCTACCCTTGCAGTGAAGTCCCTGGCCAGGCTTCCTTGGTGACTGAAGTTTCACTTCATCTGCAAACAGGGACACCACCAACTCCATTCTTTCAGGCATTTCATTCATATATACAGGTGTTCCTTGACTTATGATGGGGTTACGTTCCAACAAACCCATCTTAAGTCGAGAATATCCTAAGTTGAATATATGATAAATAAGTACTGTCATTGAATATTGAAATGTAAATAAATGAATACAAGTTACAGGCTAGCAGCCTTCATGCTGGGTAATTATCTTAAGTCTCATCTCCAAAGTAATTGTTTTTGCGCCATTGTAAAGTCAAAATATTCTAAGTAGAACCATGGTAAGTCAAGGAGCACCTGTACAAGAAACAGCACCAGCACTAGTTGTGCCACCAGTTACACACTCACAGTCGATCACTAGCACCACCAATATTACCATCACGTACATAGTAGGATACAAAATAGTTCAATAACATGGGTGTCCATAGGGAAAAACTGTTGTCCAGCATCGAGCCAGCAGCAACAGCATGGTTGACCAGGCTAGCACCAGAGGATCCTGGCCCATGGCCAGGCTCCGAGAGTAGACTCTTAAAACTTATCAATGGTATATCAAAGGTATATCAAAAGCCCCATTGCTGGGCTCTGGCCTGTCAAGGAATAAAAATTTTACCAGTGACTTGTGTATTTCTCTGCCCAATCCTCTAGAAGCCCATGTTGAATCCTCTAGAGGCTCTTGTTGAATCTTCTGGAAACCTCTGAATCTCTGGAAAGTCTTGAATCCTCTGGAAGCTTTGAATTTTCTGGAAAGTCTTAAATCCTCTGGAAAGCCTTGAAACCTCTGGAAAAGTTCCAGCAGATGGCCCCTGTTTCGTACCCATCCTGTGGATGGTAGTCAACATATTAGAGGCACATAATGGGTCCAAGGATTAGACCCCAACATTTTATCTGCTGGGCTATAATTTTCATCATGGTTAAGCACAAAACCTTCAAGAGTTTGATCAAAGGAAGGGGAAGGTAGCTCCAATTCCTTGGATCTAGAGGAAAATGAAATATTTTTGAGACTAAACCTTAAAACAACACTGAATGGAGATAAAATACTTGTTGGTTCAGAAATTGTTTACATCTGTCATGGCAGCCAGTCACAACGAGAGTACCACATGACAGGCTCGCCTTCCAAGGCAATACCACACAATTAAACCACAGAACGGGTGGGGTTTGAACCCATGGGAAACGGGTTGTAAAACTTAGGCCATTGCATTAACCACTGGGTCAGCTAGCTACAAAAAGATTCATCTAACTAAGTGTATTTATACACCATGGGCAGGTTAGTATGGGCCACCACTGTGACCACAAATACAAATTTTTGATAATCCTATGAATGTAATCACTAGATCTAGCCAGTAGGAGCTCATCGACTTTGATGATCTCACAGCTCGGCTAAGCTGTCTGCTGTACTCCGTCATCTCTCCCCTGTAAAGAAAATTCATTTAAAAGTTTATCAATATTATGAAATCATCATAATAAACAGAATCTAAATAATGTAAATACAATATAAAGCAGATCAGTAGGTATTTCAATCATACATAGAAGCTCCTTGAATTACGGTATTTGACTTTAAAGATGGCGCAAGAGCAATTACTTAGGAGTTGAAACTTAAGATAATTACTCATCATGAAGGTAAGTAAGTTTATTCAGGTATACACAAATACAGTTACATAGAATTATCATACATAGCAGCATGTGTGTAGAGAACCTGGGATAACCCAAAAAAGTCAGACAGAGTGACTTATTTCCATTGGGGTGGCAAGTCCATAACTTATATTCATTTATTTACTTTTCAATACTGTTATTTAGTTAGTTACAGTAACTATTTGTTTACTTATTCAGCAACAGTAATTATTTACGTATTTACTTACTTATCATATATTCATATTCGACTCACAATATTTTCAACTTATGATGGGTTCGTCAGAATGTAACCCCACCATTAGTCAAGGAGCACCTGTATAAGCAGGAAGTAATATCTGTGGAATCATATAGCTATTATATTCATGAAGGACTAACTCTACAGGGGACACACAGTACCTATACAATGAGAGATGAATGATCTGCAGTGATGCGGGGCTCCAATTCTCTGGATCAACAGCTCTCCACCGACATCAAGACACCTCCCTTGAAGGGGTAATACTGCAGATATATGCAGTAAAGATTTATCCATAGATATCTTTCTAGTGTGGCCAGAAGGAAAATGCTTTGATAAACTTTCCAGAAATAAAATGCTTAACATTCGTCTATGAAATTCAAATAAGAAAGGGGAACAAGCAGGAAATTCTCTTTTCTTCATATTCTGGTCAAATGGTCAAAGCAAGACAACACTGTACAGTGATGTAATGCTTTACAAAACTGACAAGTTAAAGAATTAGACACTTTTACAACACTTGGGAATCTTTGTCAAAATAGTCTGCCAACAAGCAAGTTTATTTAGATATAGATACACACAAATACTGATTTTTTCTTTTCAACAAACTGGCCATATCCCACCCTGCCTTGGTGGGATATAGAGAAGGGGTTAATAGCCATTGCTTCTAGCATTTTAGTCACTTCTTATGACATGCATGGCTTATGGAGAAAGAATTCTGTTCGACTTCCCCATGGAGATAAGAAGAAATAAAGAAGAAGAACTATTAAGAAAATAGAAGAAAACCTAGGTAGGTATGTTTTTTTTTTTTCAACAAACCAGCTGTATCCCACCAAGGC